TTTTGAATTAACTTTTGTGCATGGTGAGAGAAAGGGATTCAGTTTCATTTTGTTGCATATGGATTTCCAGTTTTCCCAGCACCATTTGTTGAAGATGCTATCCTTCCTCCATTGCATGCTTTTAGCCCCTTTATCAAATATAAGATAGTTGTAGTTTTGTGGATTGGTTTCTGTGTCCTCTATTCTGTACCATTGGTCCACCCGCCTGTTTTGGTACCAGTACCATGCTGTTTTTGTTACTATTGCTCTGTAGTATAGTTTGAAGTCTGGTATCGCTATACCGCCTGATTCACACTTCCTGCTTAGCATTGTTTTTGCTATTCTGGGTCTTTTATGTTTCCATATGAATTTCATGATTGCTTTCTCTATTTCTACAAGAAATGCCTTTGGGATTTTGATTGGCATTGCATTAAACCTATAGAGAACTTTTGGTAATATCGCCATTTTGATGATGTTAGTTCTGCCTATCCATGAACAGGGTATATTTTTCCATCTTCTAAGATCTTCTTCTATTTCTCTCTTTAGGGTTCTGTAGTTTTCATTGTATAAGTCTTTCACCTCTTTTGTTAGGTTGATTCCCAAGTATTTTATTTTTTTTGAAGATATTTTGAATGGAGTGGTTGTCCTCATTTCCATTTTAGAGGATTTGTCGCTGATATACAGGAATGTCTTTGATTTATGCTTGTTGATTTTATATCCTGCCACTTTGCTGAATTCATTTATTAGCTCTAATAGTTTCTTTGTAGAGCCTTTTGGGTCTGCTAGGTATAGAATCATGTCATCTGCAAATAGTGATAATTTAAGTTCTTCTTTTCCTATTTTGATGCCTTTAATTTCTTTCGTCTGTCTAATTGCTCTGGCCAGTGTTTCGAGAACTATGTTGAACAGAAGTGGTGAAAGAGGGCATCCCTGTCTTGTTCCAGATTTTAGAGGGAATGCCTTCAGTTTTTCTCCATTCAGAATGATGCTAGCCTGAGTCTTAGCATAGATTGCTTTTACAATATTGAGGTATGTTCCTGTTATCCCTAGTTTTTCTAGAGTTTTGAACATAAAGGGATGCTGTACTTTGTCGAATGCTTTTTCCGCATCTATCGAGATGATCATATGGTTCTTATTTTTAAGTCTATTAATGTGGTGAATAACATTTATTGATTTCCGTATATTGAACCAGCCTTGCATCCCAGGGATGAATCCTACTTGATCATGGTGTACAATTTTTTTGATATGTTTTTGTATCCGATTCGCCAGAATTTTATTGAGGATTTTTGCATCTAGGTTCATTAGAGATATTGGTCTGTAGTTTTCTTTCTTTGAAGTGTCTTTGTCTGGTTTAGGTATCAGGGTGATGTTGGCCTCATAGAATGAATTTGGAAGTTCTTCCTCCTTTTCTATTTCCTGAAGTAGCTTGAAAAGTATTGGTATTAGTTCTTCTTTAAAGGTTTTGTAAAATTCTGCTGTATACCCATCCGGACCTGGGCTTTTCTTAGTTGGTAGTCTTTTTATGGATTCTTCTATTTCCTCAATTGATATTGGTCTGTTTAGGTTTTCTATATCCTCCTGACTCAATCTGGGCAGATCATATGACTTAAGAAATTTATCTATGCCTTCACTATCTTCTAATTTATTGGAGTATAAGGATTCAAAATATTTTTTGATTATCTTCTGTATTTCTGAAGTGTCTGTTGTGATATTGCCTTTTTCATCCCGTATGCTAGTAATTTGAGTTCTCTCTCTTCTTCTCTTCGCTAGCATGGCTAAGGGTCTGTCGATTTTGTTTATTTTTTCAAAGAACCAACTTTTAGTTTTGTCAATTTTTTCAATTGTTTCTTTTGTTTCGATTTCATTAATTTCAGCTCTGATTTTAATTATTTCTTGCCTTCTACTTCTTTTGCTGTTGTTTTGCTCTTCTTTTTCAAGGATTTTGAGATGAAGTATGAGATCATTTATTTGTTGGTTTTTTCTTTTTTTAAGGAATGAACTCCAAGCAATGAATTTTCCTCTTAGAACTGCTTTCAATGTGTCCCATAGATTCCAATATGTTGTGTCTGTGTTTTCATTTATCTCTAAGAATTTTTTAATTTCCTCCTTGATGTCTTGTATAACCCATTGATCATTCAGTAACCTATTGTTCATTCTCCAAGTGATGTATGCTTTTTCCTTCCTTCTTTTATCATTGATTTTCAGTTTCATTCCATTATGATCAGATAAGATGCATGGTATTATCTGTACTCCTTTATATTGTCTAAGAGTTTCCCTGTGACATAATATATGATCTATTTTTGAGAAGGATCCATGTGCTGCTGAGAAAAAAGTGTAACTGCTTGATGTTGGGTGGTATACTCTATATATGTCAATTAGGTCTAGGTTATTAATAGTGTTATTGAGTTCTATAGTTTCCTTATTCAACTTTTGTTTGGAAGATCTGTCCAGTGGCGAGAGAGGAGTGTTGAAGTCTCCCATGATTATGGTATGGTGGTCTATTAGACTCTTGAACTTGAGAAGAGTTTGTTTGATGAACATAGCTGCACCATTGTTTGGGGCATAAATATTTATGATTGTTATGTCTTGTTGGTGTATGGTTCCCTTAAGCAGTATGTAGTGTCCCTCTTTATCCCTTTTGATTAACTTTGGCTTGAAATCTATTTTATTTGATATGAGTATGGACACTCCTGCTTGTTTCCGAAGTCCATATGAGTGATATGATTTTTCCCAACCTTTCACCTTCAGCCTATGTATGTCTTTTCCTATCAAATGCGTCTCCTGTAGGCAGCATATTGTTGGTTCTTGTTTTGTGATCCATTCTACTAGCCTGTGTCTCTTAATTGGTGAGTTAAAGCATTAACATTTAGGGTTATTATTGAGATATGGGTTGTTCTTCCAGCCATATTTGTTTATTTCTGTTACTAAACATGGTTTGTTTTCCTATTTGATTATTTTCCCCCCCTTTACTGTCCTACCTCCCACTGTTGGTTTTCATTGTTATTTTCCATTTCCTCTTCCTGTAATGCTTTGGCGAGGATGTTTTGAAGAGATGGTTTTCTAGCTACGAATTCTTTAAACTTTTGTTTATCGTGGAAGGTTTTAATTTCATCTTCCATCCTGAAGCTTAATTTCACTGGATACACAATTCTTGGTTGGAACCCATTTTCTTTCAGTGTTTGAAATATGTTATTCCAGGATCTTCTAGCTTTCAGAGTCTGTGTTGAAAGATCAGCTGTTATCCTGATTGGCTTACCCCTAAATGTAATCTGCTTCCTTTCTCTTGTAGCTTTTAAAATTCTCTCCTTATTGTGTATGTTGGGCATCTTCATTATAATGTGTCTAGGTGTGGATCTCTTATGATTTTGCACATTCGGCGTCCTGTAGGCTTCTAGGATTTGGGATTCTGTCTCATTCTTCAAGTCTGGGAAGTTTTCTCGTATTATTTCATTGAATAGACTGCTCATTCCTTTGGTTTGGAGCTCTGTACCTTCCTGTATCCCAATGACTCTTAAGTTTGGTCTCTTAATGTTATCCCATATTTCTTGGATGTTCTGCTCATGGTTTCTTAACAGTCTTGCTGAGCTGTCTATGTTCTTTTCCAGTTGAAATACTTTGTCTTCATTGTCTGATGTTCTATCTTCTAAGTGTTCTACTCTGCTGGTAGTATTCTCCATTGAGTTTTTAAGTTGGTTTATGGCTTCCTGCATTCCTAGGATTTCTATTTGTTTGTTTTTTATAACCTCTATCTCCCTGTATAGTTGATCCTTTGCTTCCTGGATTTGTTTGCGTAATTCATTGTCGAAGTGATCTTTCATTGTCTGATTTTGCTGTTTAATGTCTTCCTTGATACTCCAGATCTTCTGAAGCATGTATATCCTGAATTCTTTATCTGACATTCCAGCTGCTGCAGCTGTTACCTCTTCTAAAGTTGCTTTGACCTGCATTGCTTGTGGTCCTTTCTTTCCTTGTCTTTTCATACTGCTTGCGTATCTTTCCTGCAGGCGCGGGCGGCGGCTCTGCTCTCTCCTTATTCCAGTTGGGGTGTCGTGGCTACCACGCCGGCAGGTCACTGGGCCTGTTCTGGGCGCTGGCAGCGGCTCTGTTCTGCCCCTACTCAGATTGGGGTGACGAGTGTACCATGCCGGCAGGCCACCGGGCCTGATCCGCTGGTCGGTTGCAGGTTTGCCTACCCTGCAGGCGCGGGCGGCAGCTCTACTCTGCCCCTACTCCAAATGGGGTGACGTGTCTGTCATACCGGCAGGCCACTGGGCCTGTCCCGCTGGTCGGTCGCAGATCTGCCCACCTTTCGGGCACGGGTGGAGGCTCTGCTGTGCCCCTACTCCAATTGGGGTGTCGTGACTACCCCGCCTGCAGGACGCTGGGCCTGTTCCTGGCACGGGCGGCAACTCTGCTCTGCCCCTACTCCAATTAGGGTGGTGTGTGTACCACGCTGGCAGGCTCCTGGGCCTGATCCGCCGGTCTGTTGCAGGTCTGCCTACCTTGGAGGCACGGGCGGCGGATCTGCCCTGCCCCTCCTACCACGCCTGCGGACCCCTGGGCCTGATCTGCAGGTTGGTCACAGGTCTGCTCACCCTGCGGGCACGGGTGGCGGTTCCGCTCCGCCCCCACTCCAATTGGGGTCACGTGGCCACCACACCGGCAGGGCCTGATCCGGGCGTGGGAGAAGGATCTGCTCTGCCCCTACTCCAGTTGGGGTGACGTGTGTACCACACTGGCAGGCCACTGGGCCTGACCCGCCAGGCTGTCACAGGTCTGTTTACCTTGCAAGCGCGAAGGGCGGCTCTGCCCTGCCCCTCGTACCACGCCCATGTACCACTGGGTCGCGGGTCTGCCCACCTTGTGGGTGCGGGTGGCGGCTCCGCTCCGCTCCCTCTCCAATTGGGGTCATGCGGTCACCACGCTGGCGAGCCGCTGGGCCTGCTCCGGGCGCTGGCGGCGGCCCGGCTCCTCCCCTGTGGCTCGACGACAAATTGAGGAGACTCGGGTGTCTGTGCCTCACCCCCCCCTACCAGGAGACCAACTGTTTATGTCGCCGCTGGTATTGATGAAGTTCTCTCCTCCGCCGCTTTCTGATGACATCAGATCTCTGCCATGTTGGTATCCTATGCGAATGGCAGCATTTCGTTCCCCTTGCCGGGCAACCAAAGCAACGGGTGAGTCCTGACCGGCCCTCAGCAGGACCCGGACCGAGAAGCAGTTTCCGCGGGCTCCTAGCCCCGGGGCCAGGGAAGTTCCGTGCTCGGTGTAAGCTCCTATAAGAGTAGGCTCCAAGAAGCAGTCCCCGCGGGCTCAGTTCCGGGAGCCGGAATTCAGCCGCTTAGTGCTTGGTGTATTCTCTGATAGGAGCAGGGTCCAAGAAGCAGCCTCCGCAGGCTCCGCAGCCCTGGGCCAGGGCGATTCCGGGAGCCGGAACTCGGCCGCCCTGCGCTCGGTGTTCGCTCCGATAAGATCAGGTTCTAAGGAGCACCCAGGCACTGAACCCTAGCAATCTGTCTGTAAGCCGCAGGCGAATGGCAGCCTGAAATTACCTGTTCTATGGCTGAATGAGCTGCGGTCAGTCGAAAACAGGGATGGTGACGTCAGCTTTCCAACATGGTGGCTGCTGGCCTCCTCTGTGGTCTGACCGGTGTGGAGAACCGAGATGGACCGCTTCCTTCCCCCGTCTCGAACCCAGAATTCAGCCCTGAGTACGGTGCTTGCATGGCTGGCAGAAACTGCAGCGCTGTATCCCTGCGTCGCTATCTCCTCGTTTCCCAGCGCGCTGCAGACTCTAGCCGCGGGGCGATTTGCTGAATAAGCAGTGTTACCCTCCGTGCGACAAACCTCTAGCGTTTGAGTCCCCGTAGCCGATCCTCGTGCGATGGAAATCCTTCCTCCAGTTTCCGGAGCACCCCACTATTGCTGGAAATTCCTAACAAGATAGCCTTTAGCCGTCCTGACTTGTCATACTCCCAGACAGTGAAGCAGCACACGGGGGCAATGCACTCCCCTCGCCGCCATCTTCCTAAATCCCAGATTGTTTCTTTTGCTGAGAAGAAGCTTTTTATTTTGAGTTGGTGTATCCTTTTAAAGATAAGCATGCATGTACAATCAATGTTTTTTTTTGTCTTTGCCCAAGCATTTATTTATATATTGACCTTGTGAATATTGTTTTTTGGAATATGTTAAAAAATGCCAAGTTTCATTTAAAATATCAAAGGTAATATAGTCCTATCATTAGGGTACAAATTATTTCTGTAAGTTTTTTAAAATATTGAAATTAGTTCAAGAATTAGCCCCCATGTCCTACCACCCATACAACTTTGTGAAGAAGCAGTATATGGGGATCTTCTGAAGGTCCATGGATATGGATCAAGGTCCCACATTTCTCTGCTCTCTCAGGGGGCACATTGTGTTCTGAGGCCCTTCCACGTCTCTGTCCATAGTTATGTTTTCTGTTCATGAGGAGTTATCTTTTGAATATCTTAGGCTCACAGAAGGCTCTTTTGTGTTCTGTAGGTGATTTCATTCGTGTACCCTCCTCCTTTTATATAGTTTTGCTTCTGAATTTAAATTTTCTATGAGTTTTTATATTTGTATTCATACTTGGAAGAAGCTGTATTTTACTTTTCGTGGTGCTGGGATTAAACTCCAGTTCCTTGTGCATGTTAGGCAAATGCCCTACTGCTGGCTTACATCTTCAGTCCTGGAAAGTTTGTTTAATCTGATTTTTTCTAGTCCTAGTTGAATAGATAAGTGTAATAATACTGGGAACCATTTGAAACTGGCTGTTCTTTTGAATTACACTTCTATCCAGTGGTGGTTGAGAGGATGAAATTTGGAACAAGGCTGCCCGGGTGTGAGGTCTTGCTCTGTTGCTTACTGAGAATATGGCCTGGACAAGTTGCTTAACCCTTTTAGTTTCTGCTTTTAGTTTCCTACATTGTTAAGTTGGAAGATAACAATATTATCTACTTCAGAGGTGTGCTATTATATTATGTAATATCCTCATGTAACACATATCAGATGTTTGCTACTTGTATTTTTATATGTTTGTGATTTTATTAGACCTTTGCAGGATATGATTTAGTATTTTGACATTATAATTTTCAGCATTTTTGTATTTGGTTAAAGCAGTTATTTAACTCTGGATTCCAGGACATAACCTTCTTATTTTAACAGTAACTATAAATCTGTCCATAAACTGTTTGGATTAAATAGTAGGTTTCTATACTATAGTATAGAAAAGTATTTTTTCCCCTCATTTTCTTAACCTTATTGTTTGTGAATACTGTTTCCTAACCTCTATATTCTTTTTTTTTTATGTGTAGAGCAGTATGATTTCCTATAATGATAATGCAAATCACATACCTAAAAAAAGTTTTAGTAGCCACTTTAAAAAGTAAAAAGAAATGTGCTTAATTCATTTTACCAATGTAGTTTAACACAGTGTATAAACTATTATTTTAACAGTATAAAATGATTCAGATATTTCTCATTCTTATTTTTTTGCATTGTCTTTAAAACCCTGTATATTTTCCATTTATGGTACCTTTCAATTAAGTGTAGCCATATTTCAAGCGCTCAATAAGCACACCTGGCTAGTGGTATTGGATAGCAGTTATAGAGTCTGAACTTCTTTTAAAGTTGTCTTTTTACTTAGCGAGGGTTTTATAATACTGTACAACAGCTGATAAAGTGAGATGTACAAATAGGTAGATAGAAATGATTAGCTTATAGTCTTGAAGGAACCAGGGGAGAGGTTTGTATTGGGTGTGATAAATGAATATGTAGATTTAATTGAAGTTCTGAAGTTAGGAAGCAGGATGAAACCCTAAGACTTCAAAGAGTAAAGCCTTGGAAAATTCCTAGAAAAGGAGACTGTTGTAAAACAGCGAAAACCCATCAGCTGGAGGAGAACTGTAAGGCAGTGGTGCAGTGGAAACCAGCAGGAGGTAATTTCAAAGAGACAGGTTAATAGAAGTGCCCCATGCCATAGTACAGTGAAGAATGAAAGTGCACAACTGGTTGGTTTTGTCCAACCTGAGTAGCTATTTCAGTAAAGACAGGAAAATCAAGATGTGTTAATTGAGCATTGAATGGAAGTTGAAGTAAAGACAATGAACATCCATTATTGTTTTTGGAAGTTTGATAGGGATAGTTGGTAATAAGTATATTATTGGCAGAGGAGAAGGAGCCAGTGAAGAGGACAAGATTGGAGCTAGAGGTAAAGAAGGAAAATGATGGACGAAATTCCTAGAAATGGCAGAATAAATAGGATTCAGTACACAGGTAGAGGGTATAGTAGTGGAAAAAAAAGAGGGACAACCATGAGACAGGAGTTTAGATGTTATGAAATGGGAGAATATATATGATAGAGTGGGTTCTCAGTTGCAGGTAACAGCTAGTTTGAGTTGCAGATAGCTAGGTGTTTAAACATACTCAGATATGTTACATGCTTCTTAATTTCTAGAAGTGCTACAGAACCAAACTTGACTGTTAATAGCTAGGAATAGCCCAAGCCAAGATAAACACACCATGATACTATTTTAGGAGACACTCATTGCTGTTTGCTAGGAATCTCAAAATTACAAAATGTTTTCACCCAAGATGTGATCTTGTAGTTGGCCACAACCTTTATTTTGGTTCACTTCTGTTTTGTAAATCTTGTATGGCTTTGGTTGAACCTGGGTTTCCTGTGGAAGGATGAGTTGAACATGTATTTTTTAGCTTTTAGTTTTTATTTTTTCTCCTTAAATAAGGAGGTTAGTGCATGCTGGAAAGGGACTACAGTCCTACTGTGGTTCAGTTTCTTATTCTTTCATAAGTTATATTAAAGTTGTAAGTCAGGGAGACAGTCATTTGAAGGGGTAACTAACCTAGATTGCTTAGAAAATGGCTTACTTATATGGCTCTTAAGTTGATTTTGGCTATTTGGCTATTTGTACCTTTCTTGAGTGCCTTCACAACATAGCAACTGGCAGCTGACTTCTTCCAAAATGAGTGATCCAGGACAGCAAAGAGGAAACTGCAGCATGGTTTTGGGACAGACACCATGGATTTCACTGTGTTCTTCTGGTCACTCACACCAACCCTGATGTGGGATATGGGACAATATATACAAAGGCATGTATTCCCTAGAGGTAAGGATTATTGGGGTCCTTTTGGGCAACTTTATACCCTCTTTCTTTGGCAGAAGTTAATCAGATTCATCTGCAGAAACAAAAACCAAAATTCTTTTAATTGAATGGAATTTGATGAAAATTTAGATAGAATGTGATTCTTTGTGTTAAGGGTACAAAGTATGTAGTGTCATCAGCCAGTTTATTTTATTTTATTAAATTAAAAGTATTTTTATTGTGCATTATAACTATGCATAATAGTTGGATTCATTGTGACAAACTTGTTCGTGTATGTAGCATAAAATGTCAATTTAATTCCCATTTCCCTCTACTCCTCCTCCCCCTGTTCCTCTTTCCCTACTCCATTGGTCTCCCTTCTATTTTCTTTTTTTTTTAATATCTTTATTTTTATGTGGTGCTGAGAATCGAACCCAGTGCCTCACGCATGCTAGGCGAGCACGCTACCACTTGAGCCACATCGCCAGCCCCTCCCTTCTATTTTCATGGGATCACTACTCCCTTTTTCCCTTTTTTACTCTCTAATTTCCACATATTACAAGAAACATATGACCTTTTTTTTTTTTTTTTTTTTTTTTTTTTTTTGGTAAGTGCTGTGCAATGACATATTCTCAGGCTGTTTTTTTTTTTTTTAATTATTTTTTAGCTGTAGTTGGACACAATACCTTCATTTTATTTATTTTGTGTGGTGCTGAGGATCGAACGCAGAGCCTCGCATTTGCTAGGTGAGCACTCTACCACTGAGCCACAACCCCAGCCCCTCAGGCTTATCCTCTAAGGGTAGAATGTATCAGAAAATCATCACTCATTCTAGGTGTGTATATTTTGGAGTGTGCAGACAATGAAGTTGTAATACTTTGCTTCCATAGTTCTTATTCTGTTCTTACTTCTGAAATGCAGATGTCTGAGTAGCTGTTGCCATGGTTCTTTCTTGGTCTCAATTGTCTAAGACCCTGACTGACTTTGAGAATTGGAGTGAAGATCTCTGTGACTTAATAGATTGTATATATAGGTCATTCTCTCATGCTTTGATCACATTTTCTTGTTTATTTCTTTCATATCATGTGTCACAAATTGGAATGATATTGCTGCTGTACTTGTTTGTCTTCTGGCGTCCTTCTGCTGTTCCCCAAAATTAAGCTCCAGCAGGGCAGGGCTTTGTTTGGCTTGTTCACTGCGGAATTCTCAGCATTGATAGCAGTGCCTGGTAGATGTTCAATATTATTTTGGGAGAAAATGTACTACATGATCATTATTTGAAACACGTCATTTTGAAAAGTAATTTTACCCTCCTCTACTTGATTTTTATCTTTTCAGCTTGCATGTGTTTACGACATACCTACTCCAGGATGTTCTCTGTGGCTATGAATGCTTTCCCATCTTGTTCATAGTTGGTGCCTGGAAATTTCTCCATGGTTTCTTTCTGATACAAGTTATTATGACTTTGTTATTTCTGCTAAAAATTTATTATTTTAAGAGATGTGTTTGGCTAATTTTGTAATTTTGTGCTGTGTGAACTGTTTGGGAGCCACATTTCCTTTTGCTTTTATTTGTTCTCTCTCTGTCTCTCTTTTTTTGCTTTTTATATGGTCCTTTTTTTTTCCCCGAGTTCTGACCCTGTCAGCATTGTTAAACTATACCTCTGACTTTAATATATGCAGCACATGTTATCTACTATGGGGTATATGGTAACATCTTAGTTATTTTCAAGACTGTACAAGGCCTTTAGGGAACATAGGGCTGTGTGAGTTAAGTAATAGTTTACATCTGATGTATTGCTTTCCAGAAAGTAGTGTTCCTAAGGTATTTTCCCCAGATCAGCAAGTGTTTGTGTACTTCTGTTTGGGATGAAAACCTCAAACCTGGACTGATTATCCATATGCATTCCAACTCCCCCCCTGAGATTTTAAGCAGTTCTCTGCAGAGGTTTTTGACAGTTTTTTGGATTATGGGCCTTCTTGCAAATTTGACAAACTATTGACCTTCTCTCTAGAGACATATCCATTTACATAAACCCACAAACTTTGCGTTCTTCATACAGGAGTACATAGACTTCTGAAAATCATTCATTGACCAAGGTTAAGGACCTTTAATCTGAATTATTATTATTATTATTATTATTATTATTATTAATTGATTTGGGGAATCCTTGGGAAGACTGAAGAAGCTCTTACTAATTAAAAATAACTATAGAATCACTGAGCACATTTCTATTCTTAGACATTCTTTTCCCATCTTGTAATATCCAAGAGACAGACCAAACAATCCAAGTCAGCTCTTGTCCAGATCAAGATTCAGAATTCAGACTGGATTTATTTTTAAGATAACAACTTAATTATGTCCTTTGTGATCTGGCAGATACCTTTGCATTAGGCCTGAATCGACATCTGCAGAGATATTGGTATACCTGGTTTATCAGGTAAGTGAATTTTGTGTAATTTTTCTGTCTCCATCAATTTAGTCCTTTGGCAGTCTGTGACATTTCCTGTCATGTGCTGTTTATTGCAATGTGGGTCAGTAAGATGATCAAAGTTTCTAAAGAGAAGGAAGCAGTCTTTCGTAAGTTTTACCAGATCACTTCCCTGCTGCTTGAAGTCAGATTTCTTTATTTTTATTTTATCTCATTATTATTTCATATATTCACACTTCTATAGTAGATTAAAATTCCTCACTCCTCTTTCCATGCATATGCTTTAGAGGTTGTGGACAGCTCTCATATTATTTCTTGGTTGTCAGCCAAGTTGTACACATTTAACTCCTTTAATCTTTCTTTGTAGTCAAGTTAGCTTGGCTGCTTTTTCCAGATCCCCCCTCAACCCCCCAAATTTCATCTCCACCATTAACAAAAAGGAAAAAAAAAAAAAAGCAAAAAGCCCATTGCTTGGCTTCTTCTACACCTTTTATTCTTTTTTGATTTCTGGTTTTACCTCCTATTGCTTGTTGAACTAAAGTTCATTGAGCCATTGGCAATACATGAACTCCTTGCCTACAACTATCAGTGTCCCATTTAGTAATAGCATCAGCAGTATATCCTAGAGCAAAGAAAAGAAAATGTAAAAGGAGAACACTGAGGAGCAACATAAAGCATTCTTCAATTATACAGAAGATTTAGACATGCCAAACAAAGTAAATAATTGTACCTGAACCCTTTAACACAGCTTTTATTGTCCGTAAGTATTGAGCATAAGGCATGAATCTGAATAATAGGAGAAGCATGAATATTGTTTGAAGTTTGGCCACTGCTCTCACTTGGTTTCTTCCCCATGTTCTCACTCCCCTACTGCCTTTTCCAACACTGATCGTGACTTGCTATCAGATTCTGTGGCCCTGAACAAAACTGGGCAGGGGATCATTTTGTGAGAAATTAGATAGGCTCAGGTGGTGAATGCTCCATGCCTCCATGTGTGACATCTGAGGCAAGTGCTTTAGTGTTTGCTATTTCTATAACAGCCATTGGTTTTCTTTTAACAGTTGATTTGATGGAGATTTGCAGGAGGAAAAGACTGGTAGACTTTTAGTGTTATTTATCAGCACTGTATTAGTTGTGTAACTCCTCCCCCCCTCCCCTGATTGGCAGGGAGAAACATACTGTTTTTGTATGATACTGAGCTTAGTGTGAAAATAAGCCAGCATGGGATCTGGTCTTGTCACAGTTCATTCTTTCTTTTCATTTGGTGTGTAGAAAATGGACCTCCACTTCTACTTATCTTGTGCATTAGAGAGAAAAAGGTCACACTCTCAGAGATGATAGTTTATTGGTGTTTTTAGTCACCAGATTCAGATAGTATATTTAGTTGAAGGTTGAAATAGCACACACTTGGCTTTCTTGTTTGTTTTTAGCTTTGCTTCTAGTACAGAATTGAATAGGATAGAAGAGACGGTTTTTCTGTTTGTATCTGTGGCAACTTTCTAGATGATTTGTGGTTTAATCCTTTACACATTCTTTTTTCAGTCATTTACCATGTCTTTCCTTGTGAAGGCATAAGACATTCAGATTCTAATGTTATAGTTTTTTCATCAGATTATTAAATCTGGAGAAATCAGGGTCAGAATAGCAGCTGATTTACTTCCCTATGTCTTGTGACCTAAAAATTATAATAATTATGTTAGTTCTTCTTCTTCTTCTTTTTTTTTTTTTTTTTTTTTTTTGCTGAATTTCATGGGCTACCTTCATACTATTAGATTTTAAATAAGATTATGTGATTGTGAATCATGTATTTCTTGGTCTCAGGCCTCTTAAGCAGGTAGCTTTATGACTTGGACACTCTGTAAATCTGATTTTTTAAATAATGTTAATCTCTCACATGGCTCAAACTGTCAACATTTTATACTCAACATTAATTGTGTTAGGCAATTGATACATTCTTTACCATAACTCTTGTTTCTTGAGTCTTTTCAAAACCTGTCAAAGAAAACAAAAAGCTAACCTAACTTTAAAGGGGCTAAAAAGAAAAAAATTCCCCCAACCCATACTATATTATTCTTTGTTCTCTATTTGCATCAAAGTGACAATCCCACACCGTCTCAATTGAGGGAGTCTAGCACAAAAATAACAAACAGCCTGGCACTGCTATAGGCTTGCAGCCAAAATGTTTTGTGTAGCTTGGTTCTGGCAGTGGTTTTTGTGAGGCAGAGGGTCTACCCTTACAGCATCACTTAAGGAAGGCAAACAGCCGATTTCTTTCTTATACCCATTTTCCCCCCTCTTGTCTTCCTCTATCTTCATGCAGAGCACCATTGTGAGGGAGTGGGGGGAAACATTTTTTTTTTTTCTGAAGTAGAAATGCCATTCTCCTCACAACTCCCACATTTAGTAAATGGCATTGTTTCCCATAGAAGCTTGTGCTAAATTTGCCTTTTCCAGCTTTCCTAGAGACTTCCTTTACAGTTGCATTTTTGCCATGCTTTGCAAAAAGCCTCCCTGAATGTTGCTAACTTTGGTCATGTTGACGTTGTATTTTTGATTGGTTGGAATCTTGTCTTCATCACAGCTTATTATTTGAATTAGAAACTTTTCAGTAATGTTTACTCATATTATATGGATTTTTACGCCAGCATATCTCTTGTTGAGACCCAAAAGTCTGCCATTGTTTTCTATTTTTGTCTCAAACTCAGGGTCAGCTCATATCTTTTACAAATTGAGTACTCATTTTTAGACTGTCTGATAAGTATTGTTAGATAAGCAAGTGAATTTCCAGGAAAATAAAAGATGTGCCTTTAAATTTTATTTTTGAAATCAAACTGCAAAGTAAAATAGAAGTGCTTTTATGCTTCTTGACTCTTACTGAATTATAGTTGGTGACCTACTGTTAAGAGTGTGAAAATGTGGTGTCTTGAGTTTTAAATGGAGATGATTTGTGCAGGAGACTAGATTTTCACAATGAGCAAGCATTCTGTGAAATTTCGTAGAATGTTCTTCAAAATGTAAATGTGTTTTGTGTTGTATTAACAAAAAACATTCTTTACTTTCAGGGGATCTATTTTAAAAATCAGTGTTTTATAATCAAGGTAAGAATAATTAAATAGACAGGAATTTTAAAAGAAGATTAGTGTTAGTGTAACTGATTTTTATTTTTAAATTGTCAATGATTATTGGTAATAAGAAAATTACTTTGGGACGAAAAGTTCATGCATTTTTGTAACAGTGTGACAAATGTGCCTGAAAAGAAGTATAAACAGGGTTCTTGTTAGTTATTAATGTGAAACATTTTGTATGCCATACATACTAGGAAATATATCTACTATGGATGTATTAACAAAAAAATTGTGCAATGTAACAGTTTTTCCCCCAGATGTTTATTTTTAATTTAGAAAATGTTTTACAGTCATTAAAAGGATTTGTAAAACAGGTATATCTGAAGTATGCATTAAATAAACTCACCTGTTATTTTCTTTTATTCAAGACAGGTTCAGCAACATATTGGATCATTACTTTAGCAAAACAAACAAATACTCAAGTTGCTTTTTGTGTATAATGCACATGTAATAAATGCTACGGAATCCTCTTTCTCCTTAATGTTGTCTTTTAAAACATATACTTAAGCACCTTGTTTTATGCAGAGCTATGGAAAAGAATCTGAGTGAGAGATCTGTTAAGTTACATTGATTGACTCTTTAGGTTGACATTTAAGTTTCTGAATTATGACAATACCGAGAAGGAATGCCAGTGAAAGGCTTTTTCTTTTGATCCAGGTATATTCATGACTGTCTCTCTTGAATGCTCTGTGCCAATGTCTGATAATTGATGATTAAATATAGCACAGACAAAATCCTCTTTCATTCTGTATTCCCACATATATTGAATAATTCTTGTTGCATATTTAATATTATTTATTGATTTTAAATATGTTTTTTGCAGTGTACAATTTTTATTTGCAATTAAACCCTTTATATTTTCGTAGTGGGGATATATAACTTAGAAAATGCAACATGAATTGTCTTATGTGTTTATTCTACCTACATACAGAAGCATGGGAGAAAATATAATTGAGAATTATAAATTATAATGTTTAAGCAATTTTTTGGTAAATGCTGTTGAGTTTTCATTTTTTTTTTGTAGGCAGCAAATTCTATGCTGTTGTTTAATTCAAAACATGCAGTAAAAACTATTATCTTTATAGTGTAATAATATATGATTTTCGAGAATTATGTATAGTAATTTCATCATTACATTTGTGGAAACATGGAAGAATGTTTTAGATAACAGAAAAATTGGATAAATACTATATTATTTCAACTAGATTTTATTATATTAAGTACTAAGTTTATAATTACTTCAAGTATTTTATTTCTTTTGAATTTTAATGTAGCTTTCAAATATAACTTCTAGTAGATGATTTGAATATCTGATTTAATATCAAAAAAGTAACATGGTAACAAATAATGATTTATGTGGTCAAAATTTGAATGATCTTCCCATAGACAGACAGTGTACGGGTTAGTGTCAAAATTCAGTAGATAGTATTTCATAAAAGGGTACTTATTAATTCAGTTGTGTGATTTTCCTTCCTAATTTTTGATACATTTTGATTTCTCCCACTCCACGGTATTATATGATCATTCTGTAAATACTTAAATACTTTCACAAGTATTTCATATGTTTTCCATGGCATCTCACACTGCTCACTTTTTATCTATGTACCATATGAGTTCCCCGTTTTCAGGTTTACACTGCATATTTTAAGCTGCTGATAGTGTAAGTAGATTGCAAGGTAAAGTGACATTTAGCTTTTTAAGCTAGTCTCGTTTTTAGTATGAGAACAGGTCCTCCCCCCATCCTAAATCTTCTCACATTTCCTACTAAAACAATCTTGCTAACATTGAACAAAGAAATTCAGGGATTTGGCTATAGCAGCAATTGAAATGCATCAAAAAGTGGCTACTACAATACAATTTTATTAATGAATGATCTACATTGGT